TTTTCCTTTTAAACTTAATTGACATTAGTCATCCTATTTATTTTTGAATGAACAAGACATAGAACATTGATAGCGGTTCAGCACATTATGTTACAGGTACATAATGTTCAGTCAGTGTGTGTATTATGCATGTCAAATAATTGCCACTAAACCTAACAAAATACCACCATAGTGGTTCAAACAGGATAACTTATAAAGGAATAACATAGGGTTTCATTTTAATATTTTCTTTGCTTTACGATGTGGAGGGAAAAAATTAAGTCCAATTTATAACCCAAAAGGTTAAGAAGGTGTGGTTTTAAGGTCTTTTTACTGCTGCCCAAGAGCTTTATTTCAGTAATTTTTTGGCATGTGGATTTTATTTGTGTTTTTTAGAAACTGGTACTAATAATTTATTTGTTACATGTCATTTACCCCCTCTTCTTATGTATCTTTAAACTTAACCTTGCCACACCTAACACCTGTTAACACATCAAACGATTTGCCACACTTAGCACCATATCACACCTAACACATTGTCATACCTAACACATTGTCACACCTAACACACTGCCATACCTTGAACTTTGACACACCATTGCTTTTGGACACCTAATACTTTGTCATACCTAGCTACTTGTCACAAAAATGCTGTATCAAATTGCTGAATCTAGCACAGGTATTCCATATCAGTTTGAAAATGCCTCAGAAGCATACATTTATGTCTAAATAGCCTACAAATTTTGCTGTTTATATTTCTCAATTCAGACTTTAAAAATGATAAAACTCCTCAAATTAAAGTACATGAAGTTGATATTTTTTAGTTCTGAAATATCAGGAGACTATGGCTGTTTAAGTTACTCATGATTTGTTTAAAACAGATTTAATTAGAAATGGCACAAAACATGGAATCCAAGTGCTGCGGGACACTGGTTGATCAAAATTCCAGAGTAGCAGAAAATTGCTTTTATCTCACAAGGAAAATTGGATTTTTTGTGAAAATCTCATACCTTTAATGAAGTATTTCCTTTAGTATTTATCTAGTAATATTTGTGATGAAAAGTGCTCTTTTAGCATTCAAAATTCCCAGGTGTGCTACACTTGTGTGAGACAAAAAGTGTGTGTATAATCATAGTTGATTTTACACAGTGTTGGTATTGTATTTTTCCTCTAGTCCCCATAAATTACTGGTCAATTACTTTGGTTTCAATGTAGTATTCATCTTTACAAATTACTACTTCTCAGAATGCCTGGGAGCTAGAAAGTGAGTTGAAACCCAAGGGCTGTTTGTTGACTTGTGCTACATGTAGACAAATGGGAATAGACAACGAAAAGGGGGAATGGTATAAAAAGACTGAGAGATAACATGTAAGTGAAGGCTGTATTTGATGAAAATTAAAACTGAGTGCAAAAGAACTTAATTCATCCCTTTCAATGGCCTAAAACCCCTACCAGAATCCAGTTTGATAAAAAAAGGAAAGCGTTTTCACTTGGCCTAAGGATCCAAGTGCTCATGGCCAATCCCCAAAAATGTTTAATTACTGATTTATTTTGCTGAAAACTATATGAACACACCCCATACCCCAGGGTCTTCTTGACTGATCATTGTACATTTTCTGCTGGGAGTTTCCTGTATTAAATTTTGGAGTCCAATATAGATTTTAATTAGATTTAAAAGCTAGCATTCTTAAATACGTAGCAGGTGATTACTACATGGTTCCAAAGTTGTATGTCAGTCTAACTTGATAATAAAAATGAAAATGGATATAGAAAAGCAGTATGACTTAATTCAATTCCCAGTGGTAGAAAGGATTGTATACATCAAGATTTTTGTTTTACATTAGTTTAATAATTACACCAATATTTATGATATTGGCTTGCAAATATTACGGTGATTGTTAAAAATGCAGTAACATGCAGTATTGTGATTGATGGATCTATTCAGTCAACTCATCTGGGCCTGATAAATTTTTGCCTTTTAAATCTTTTTTGAGAGCAATGTATTCAGCAAACGAAAATATAACTGAAAATATAATTAATTAAATAATCTTAAATTTAAGCAAAAGGATAATTCAAGGAATTGCTGCACCCATCAAATATTTTGTTTCAGTACTGTGTGTGATGACTACTAAGTACCTTTCTGATAGGTACAAAAAGGTTTGTTTTAGTCACAAGTTAGTACTTTTTTGGATCAGTGAGATTATTGGAAAATTACACAGTTTATATGTTAATATGAAATGAGTGCAATCAGCATGTGTCTTCAGATAAAAGGCAGGTCGACATCCCCACTAGAATACTAGCCATAAAAATCAGATCTTTTCAATCAATACAAAGATCCCAGGAAAAGGTCAGGACGGTTTACTGCGGCATTTACTCGTAGGTGTCTACATAAACGTTGATGTGTGATTGATTAAATAGCTTATACCACTAACTCCCCCTGTGCATGTCTTGTAAAGAAGCATTCAGGGGAATATTTCTAGCTGTGTTCTTCACATTAGGGACAGAAAGGACAAGTTAGGGGCACATGTACATGTTCTTAGTTGTCTACTGTGGCCCAGGAGTGAGGATAGATGTGGGAAGAGGCTTGGGGGGGAGGGGGGGGGGGAGAACAGACTTTTATTTTCTGCCTGTAGGGAGTTTCCACTTCAGCTGAGGCCCTTTTCACTTTAAATGGCATACTTAGCAATACGTTCTCCATCATTACACTTTTTGTAGTCCAAACATAAAATTATGTTACGGGAGGGGGGGATTAACTCTTTTTCAAACGTAAATTTGATCACTTCCGACTGTTTGGGTGGAAGATAATTGGCTGTGATGAGAGCAGGTGCTCTGTGTAGGAGACTATCCTATGTAATAATAGTATAATAGCCAGGCTATTAAGATGTTGATATCTCAAAGTGAGCAAGTATGGACTATATGGCTAAAGTTTAATGGCTCATTGATGAAATAGCCTTAATCAGATGATGAAAAGAGAGAGGGATATGCTTTCTTCAGTGTAACCACACATAAAAGGCCAGAAAAATCTTATTCCAGCCAACTCAACAGTGTAGTCTGTTTTTAATTCTATCATAATGTGTAAAAGTCAGTCTTTAGAACAATTAACTATGTATTAAATATGTGTTCTTTGAATGCCTTGGTTTGATCAGTCTTGAAATATTTTTACTTTTTTTTTTACATTATTCAGTATTCTGAGGACTCCTTAGATGTTATACATATAGAGTCTAGGCATTCTTGCCTGCAGGCAGTTTTGTTGTTCCTATCACTCATGAGTTTGATTTTTTTTCTTTTTCGTAGTTGCTGAAATCACTTCCCATATTGGAGTGAAGTTGATATTTTCCTAAGCTGGAATCTGTTTTGATGTTATCTGAAAAAATATGAAAGTGTAGGTCACGAGAGGAAGTATTTATTATTTAGTAGCTATAATTATAAGATTTGAAGGTAGAAATGATTGGAATGAGCATTTTTTTTCTTTCTTTTCCTTTTTTAAATAGATACTTAATTTATCTCATTCCTGATCATACATCCCAGTTTATGCTTCAAAACAGGACTTAGACTAGTCTGCCCACTTCAGTCAGATCAAGCCAAATTCACTGTCTTTGAGCATGATAGAAAACCAGCCATTCCTCAGTAAACTAGCCCCATTATTGAAATGTAATTACTATAATGGGGATGTGTGTGTCACTCTTGGTTTTTGTTGGAATTGATTATTTGCAGAAAGTGCTCTTTTAACTGATGCAGTGGGACCTGTAATCTAATGTTATTTCCCCAGTCGGAGTTTATTCAGTTATCTTTGGGAGTCAGAGAATTTTTCTTATTTACACATAATTCTTTTTTGAGAGATACCGTACCTAGAGATGTGTATAACAAGGTTATTACTGCTGTCAATCTTGAAGAGAGAAAATTTTGGAATAAGTGAGTTTTTTTTCTAAGAGAGGGAACAAAGTTAGAATGCAAATATTAGACCCCATTCCCATAGATTTTAGATGGATCTATCCCTGTGGAGAGTCTCACTAGATTACTGTCAGCTAAACCGGCTTAAGCGTCCATCCCGCCTACTAAAAGCTGTTAGGGGGTAATTAACTACCATGCGCGCTTGGCTGACAGCAATTTAGCGTGAATCCCCAGGGAGTTTGGTCGATCTAGGTGGATCTATCTAAATCTATGGGAATGCAGTCTTAGACTGCGAGAGTGCTTTAAGTTTGAATTGCATTTACTTTAAAGTTTCTAGTTATATAGCCATCTAATGGTGAAAGGTGCCATGTCCTTTAACGTAATGTAGAATATTCTGAGAGGAGTGTTTGAGAAATTGGGATATTAAGAGCCAGAAATATCTGAGATAGGAATATGACTTTCTAAAGTTGTGTTCTTGGCATTTCTTTAAAAATAAATGTCAAAATATTTTTAACACATCTTGACAGGCAATGAGAGGATTATCTCTGTAAAAAGTGAAGCAAGTAAATAAATGTAATTATTACTTTTATTCCTGACACATCCAGTTGGATCTGCTGCAGCTGAGGATGGAGATCGTAATCTCTAGATCTCACTTCTTATTGATTCTTGTTTATCATGCATGTTTGAGGACAGAGGTTCAGCGGAGATCAGCAAACTAGGAAGATAAATGAAGTCTGTGCCTTGAAGTGGCAGTAAATTATCAATCAAATAGAGAGGGATATAAGTCTTAGTTCTTATCAGTCAGGGCCATCTTCAGTTACTAGAGTGCAGTTTAGGAGACTTGGACTATTAAACATATCAATCATAATCCATGTAAATAATAACATTATTGGTCATGGTATATTGGTAAATATAAACATAAATAGTACATGGTTATTATTGTGCAATTTTGATAAATTAAAATTTATGATATTTTGAGATATGATGCATGTTTTTCAAAAAGAAAATACAAGTTAAACGCAGCCACAATAAAAATGCCCCAAGTACATGTAGACAAGTCTTACTTTTACAGCCACAGTAATGACAGTGACAAAAAAAAGAGTCTCACACTGATGCAATCTCTGTTATAGACACCTTCATCTCGGCTCCTCAAGGCAGGCTACGTGCTGCGAACCATCATCCAGACGCGTTCACCTTCCATGATACGTGATCGCAAGCATCATCTACGCACATACCGCAGGTGCATGGTCGGGAGTGAAATGACAGACTGGATGCTACAGGTTAGCCCCTCCGTCCACTCCAAGATACAAGCCATAGGCATGTGGCAGGCACTGTTAGAGGAGGGAGTGTTGGTTCATGGTAAGCTTTATAATGTAAATTTACATGTAATTCCTTGCAGAATGTTACAACTATTACTGTGTCACACCTAGAACATTGTCAAATGTAACATGTTGTGCCAATGCACCTGTGTTACATAAGGCATGTTATCCATTTCTTCAAAGGGGCTTTGGTGTAACGTATCATGTTGATATGATGTATTTTGTTCACTTTAGCAGGCCTGTCATATTTGCACAGTTAAATACTACACAACGATATAATATTGAACTCAACAATCTGTCCCACTTAATTCACATTGCCCGACCTAGCACACTGTCACAACTAACACACTGTCCCACCTAACACATTCTCACACCTACCACACTGTCACAACTAACACACTGTCCCACCTAACACATTGTCACACCTACCACACTGTCACAACTAACACACTGTCACAACAAGCTGGCTGTATATGTGTCTGTGTGTGAGAAAAAAAGCTCTGTATTTGGATATGACAGTGTCAACTGGTGCATTATTGATAAGATTTTCTAGACTGATAGCATCATGAGATGTTTATTATTTTAGGTCAGAATGATTCCAATAGATGTCACCACTTACCTAACACTGTCTCCACAAAGTGCCCTTGTTTTATCTCACAAAGAATTATATCTCATTGTACTAGTACTTGATAGTATAGACTATATTTGGTACTAACAACATCCATACAAATAAATACACTGGCCCATGAACATTTATACACATAGCTTATCTATTTGATAGAGTATTATCTTCATGTTCATCCCTAATCTGAAGACTACACATCTATACATACATGGGCATGTGCTTGGTCTTTATTACAATTATCTTTATACTCTCTACCCTAGTTTGAAAATATATAATTATTATATATAGAGAGGCATGAATATGCATATATGTGGGCAACCAAGAGCATATATGCAGGCCACACACACACACACACACACACACACACATCTACACATCTCTTTGACCTCTCAATCACTCCCGCCCTATCATGTGCCCACTAATAGCTAACTTATTGCATACCTCTCCATAACCCTACACATCTACTTATGGTAAGTGCTGGGTAGGTTTGAACAAGTCTGATAAATCACATTGACAATGAGGAAAAGATGATTGGACACCTTTTGGCCCAAAGAAAAAAAAACGAACAACAGATTGTATAACAAAAGAGACTGATTGTAATTTTATTTATTTATTTATTTATTTATTTATTTATTTTTATTTATTTATTTATTTATTTATTTATTTATTTATTTATTTATTTGCACAAAATGTGTATTATGTCATTGTTTTCCAATGCACAATAACAAAAACATTCATTAAGTCTAACCTTGAAGTTTTCTTTGGTATCTTTTATTTACATTTCCAAACATTTTCAAAGTGAAACTGGAACAGTGCTTCTACTTCAAGGCATCATTGTGTTAATGTGGAACTTGAAATTTTATATACTTAATATTACACAAAAAATTGGTCTGAAACAAACAAATAAGTAAATGAGGCATTTGACATTTTAGAATGATTACCGTAGACTTGATGGAGGAGTTAAATGTACAGATGAAGATAACCTAAATGTATTGTTGAGGTTAGATTGTGATCTTTGTAACTCTGATATACAGGGCTGTTCTTAATCAACTAAACATCTGTTCATCCATCATATCCATTGCATTTAACTATCATATTTGTTGTTGTTGTTGTTGTTTGAAGTTTTAATGTTGTTGTTGTTGTTAGATATGTTTGTTTAACAATGGACTACATATCTGAACAATCATCATTTTGAATACTATGAAAAACATTAAGTGTAGAATTTTATGTGATGTACAATTAGCATATTTTAATTTAAATTTAAAAAAAAATGAAGGAGAAAAAGGCACCCACCCCCTCTAGATTAACCTATTGATGGCATGTACAGATGCTTAATAAGCTCATTCATACAAGTGTCAATCATTAATCCTGCATCGGTCCCCTGTATAGTACCCTTAAAGTTGATTTCTAACATGGCCTTAATTGATATAATAGATAAAGCATACGCCGTAATCCTCTCATGCATGCAGGACATGAAGACAGCGTAACAGCTAACATGTGCTAGTAATTTATGGACCACTGAGTACATGTATTATTTAGAGGTGTGCTGTTACATGTTATGGCAGTAGTTAATGAGAAGTGTGCGAGCAGAGCCTCATCCATAGTTGATAATGGAAGTAAGTACTGTACTGAACGCGACTGATGACAGCTTGAAAGATGGTACTAGTATTTATATAATAATATGTTATTTTCTGATTTAGATATTATCATACTTTAAATTGTACTCATGATTATACTAGATTGCGTGCAGGCACACATGTAAATACAATCACTCATGCATGCATGGATGTAAACATAAACATATGCATATAAACATCTGCACATGCATGTTCATTCGTGCACATATGCATACATTACTATGGGTGGAACATATCTCATTGAAATTTTGCATGGCTGAGACCAACTGTTGATGCGTCAACAAATTGGATGTATTTATTATTAAAAAGATGATGATAAACTTCTATGTGTCCTGTGGATTAAACATTACTAAGCAGAACTGGTTCAGATGATACGTCAGCGTAGGTATGCATTATTCATATGTTTTTATATGCATCTGAGCTTTATGTAACTGAAATTATTTTTCTTCTTGAGTCTCTATTCACACTGACATTTGGTACATCAGAAAAGTGTCATTTAGCTCAGTTAAAGCCACTTTTGCTTCATTTATGAGCTATTAACTCAGTGGTAGAGAAGTGTGTTGGATGTTTTTATACAACTGATACTGTAAATGAGGCATTAAGGTAAGAACCCAGAAAATTTTATTTTGTAAAAATGGGAGAATATGATCTGATTTTAATTTCTGAGTTGACCTCAGAGGACAGCTTGTCAGCCTGGACAGCTAGTGTTCTTTATATCACACCCTGAAATAACAAGATCATAGGACACTGACCTGTGTGTGTGTGTGTTTATGCATGTGCGTGTGTGTGTGTGTGTGTGTGTATGACGTTAACGCTGGCCCAACTGCCAAAGCCAGGAGAAATTGGAACGGGCCAGGTTTTTTTTTTCAGGCGTAACATGTACTATAATTTGTTTCATTAATATTAAGGCTAAATGTTGAAGTCTTTTTTTATTAACCTTTTGAAAACCACATGTTAATTTTTGTTCTTATTTGGAAAAGAAATTAAGCCCGTTTAATCTCAATATGTTAATTTAAGTATATTTTATTGAAAATTGTACTTGGGCCAGAGAATTATAGTCAGGGCCAGTAGTTTCTCAGACCCTGTGGCTGGAATGGGCTGTAAGTTGAAAAGACTTTGGCCCAGCCTGTGCATGCATGTGTATTTCTCAAATATATGCATGGTACTATAGTTACAAGTAAAATGAAGAAGAATAGTCCCTGCCTTGGTGTCCACCTATCCTCCTCCCCAACAACCCCACCCCTGCAAACATTTGTCTCATTTAAGTTAATTTACGGTCCTCAATCCCTTCTAGAACATTTGGTGTA